CTGCATAAACTGAGTGTGGTGGTGCTTGTCTTTAGTCCCAGCAATGTCAGGAGGATCAGAAGTTCAAGGTCATTCTTGGGCTACACAGGAGTCTTCCAACTAAACTGAGATCATGCCTCAGGGAGCAGAAATAAAACCCACCATGGTTTGAGGCCTCAGAAAAACTGAGCTGTAAATGAGGGAAACCCTTCCAATTCTCAAACACAAATCTATTTTATCTAATATGGCTCAGTGTTATGTGTACATTTGGTTATGAAATACACAGTAATATTTAATAACACTATTCAGTGACAGGACCTTCATTCATTTCTTCCTCCCAGTAACTCTGAGGTAGCTACTTCCTCCACTGTTCTAATGCAGGACACTGGGGTTCTGAGAAGTTGAGAGACTGGGCCCAAGACCACACAGTTGTGAGAGGAAGAACCAGGATTGTGAGCTTTTCCAAGTGAAGGGCCTACACCCTGCAAAATAAGTGTGCACAATTCTGCCAGTTACAAGAGGGTAAAAATGAAAACCCGAGTAGTTAGGCAGACCATGGGAATTGATATTTTGGGCAATATTTAACTAACAACCTGGAACTCAATGTAGCTCAAGCTGGTCTGGAACTCAGTGATCCTCCACCTCAGGAGTGCTGACATCGTTACAGGTGGGAGCCACTCACCATACCTGGTCTGAAATGGAGTTATCTGAGCAGTGCTCTTCCCTTGTATTCCAGTCAGCAACACACCTCTGTGTTGCTGTGTCACAAACAATAGAAAAATTTTAGCAAGAAAGAAGCAAACTTTGCACTCCACACTGAGGAATAACGTGATCAACATTTTGAGTTCGCACAGATTTCTGACCCAAAAGACTTGCTGAGAGCAGCCGTTCAGATTTGTGCTGTCTGAATAGGGATCGTACAAAGGGCAGCTAGGGTCTCCACTATTTGCACATAAAGAAAGAAAACTGTTTCCCAGCTAACTATGCGAAGGCGTATAATGGGCATGTCTCCCAGTTATTTCCAGTCCGTCAAATTAGGCTCTTTTCAGCCCCAGTACACATCAGTGACTCAATTACAGACGTTATCAGAACTTCTCTGAAGTCTAGAACACTTTCCCTTGCTTTCTGTAGTTCACAGCAACGCCATGCTTGGCTTTGCGGGGGGTGGGGGGGTAGTAAAAAGCTTTTATTTCTGCATTTTGACTTTTCTTTCATTTATCTGTGCGTGCACTCAGTGCTAAATTTTAGTAGGTGCTTCTGCCTAACAGTTCCCTGTTATGATTCATTTAGTTAAGCACTCCACATTTGGGGTCTCCGTGCACCCACATGTAAGTCACTCCTGCAAGAGTGGTCGGGTTATCTGCAGGTCCAACGGGCCTTCCCTCCTAGCTCCACCCCGGGGGCAAAGTTTGCTCGTGTCCTCTCGAGGGAGGGAGAAGGGCCGCAGAACCAGGATCCCAAGAGCAAGAAGAAGCGCGGACAGAGCTACAGCTCACTCGTCTCCGGGAGGCTGGACCACGTGCCCCTCACTTACCCGACTGGACAGCCGATCCAGTGCTCAGCGCGCGGACGGCGGCGGCGCTCGGCACCCAGGGCCCCGGTGGGCAGGAGGCCACGGCGGTGCGCAGACTGCAGGCCACAGCCCACGCGCTCCTAGCCACTCGCAGCGACATGATCAGAGTTGCTGGAGTAACCGCACTGCGCCTCCGCCACCGGGCGGGCGCTAACCGGGTGGGCCAGAGTAAGCGGAGCCCGGGGCCCGGGGCGGAGCTCGGACAAGATGCTCTCTGATTGGACAGCTCGAAGGTTCCACTTCAGATAGGACAACGCGCGCGAGGGGGTGTGCGCTTGTTGAGGAGCCGAGGCCCGGATGGGGCTGTGTGCGGGGCGCGGAATGGCTGGGCGGAGAGGGGCGGGGGCCCGGCGACGCCGAAGGGCGGAGCCTCGCGCCTAGAGTGGGATCTTGTGAAAGCAAGCACTGGGTCGGCAATCTGTGCATTCCTCAGTGGCCAGAGAAAGAACCCAGCAAGGATGTCTTTGCTGGGCTAACGCAGTCTCATGCCATTAAGTCAAAAAGTCCTAGGGAAGACGAGGTCCCGCCAGGCCCAGTAAAGCACAGCCACGCCCATCTGCACAAGGTCACCCGCAAGGGGATTCATTTTATCTGAAGATCAGTGGTAGGCATCTGACAAAGTCATTCTGACACAGATCGTATAAGTTTTTAAATGCTGAAAACAACCCAGGAAGCCACTTTATTACTTTACAGATGCCAAGAGGGCCAGAGACTCTTAAACCCAAGGGAAATAGAGAAAAACACAATTTATGCGGGCCTTGTACTACCTTTGATCACAGCACCCTGGAGATGGAGACAGGAGAATCAGGAGTTTTCAGCCCATTCATTGCTCCTTAGCAGCCATGGGAATGAACCTGGGTCCTCTGCACTAGCAGGAGCAGTGAGTACTCTTAACCACTGCCTCATTTCCCAACCCCGTAAGATTTTTTTTTGTTTGTTGTTTTGTTTTTTTAGAGAAACGTTGTTTAATGGTAAGGCTTAGCACACTCCAGCACCAGCACAGGCATGGAGTCGAAGCAGCAGGGATGGCTGGCTGGCCCCATGCAGCTTCATGTGGCTAAGAGGATGAGGAAGGTGACCATCAAACAAAAGAGCCCCATGGCCTCAGACAGGGCAAAGCCCAGAATGGCATAGAAGGGCTGTTGCTTGAGAGACGGGTTCCTGGCATAGCCACTAATCAAACTACCAAACACTGTTCCAATGCCAGCCCCTGATCCAACCACACCAACTGTGGCAGCCCCAGCACCAACCAATAAACTTAGCAGCTGTGTCAATGTCCTAGGAAACAACACTGGTCTGGAATTCCCATCTGGCCATCTGGAGAGAGGAGCGGCTGCAGGAAGGCTGTTTAGATGGGGCCTCTGGTCTACTCAAGAGGGAGGCAGGCAAACTCCTGGTTAGACCTGTGGTACAGGAGCTGATCAGAACTGGAGTAACGAGCAGTGCCTTGATGGTCTGCATTTTTCAATTTCCCAGCTGTAGCCCTTAGTCTCAGCCCCATAAGAAGATTTTTAATATACAGCAAGAAAGTAGGTGTTGTCCATCTCAGGGTTGATAATCCAGTCAGAGACCCCCATTCCTTACTGGGCACAACTTGGCTTCTCTAAACTCTTTACTATCAAGGGAAATGGATTGTCATTACCAAGACAAAACAGGATTTACTTGGAGGTGGCTGCAGAAGTCCTGCAAGAGAAGGGGGACAGGGCTCCCTGAAAAAGGGTCAGTTTTCCCTTAGCAAAGAGGAGAGCATGGGGTGGGTTTGGGGTAGGGAATCCACAGGGTGTCTACAGTGGATCAGGAAAGAGGGGGACAAGACATGCTTAGAAGCTGTGTTAGATCCTTAGCCTGGGCTGCTGGTGGGGTGGGGGTAAGAGTTAGACAAACTCCTTTTGTTAGACCCCCGAAAACTCAAGTATCCGGGGTCCCAGGTCATGTTCGAGGTCACCCCAATCACCAGGCGGATTCGAGAGCTTGATGCAAACTGCACGAGGCTTTATTGTAATTTAACGAGCTAACCCCATGTTAGCTCGGGTCTTTC